GCGTAGCAGAGCCAATACTGGGGTCAACTGCATTTCCAGAGCTGCCTGGTGAACTTTGACCTGCAGTTGACAGAAGACATGTAAGTGATATTTACGCAGAAATTGCAAATCTAAAAAAGGTTAGGCTAGACAAACAGAGTGATCTGATTTAATGTTAACCAACCAAGAAAATGTTTTTATATATGAAAACATTATAAACCTTTTTTCAAAACAGAAATCTTCCAACAATCAATTCATGATCCATACAAAACTGGGTGACCAGTATCTCATATAAATAGCGTTCCTTTCGGCTCTGCCTCCCTATCAGTTTATAGCAGCCACCTGTTTATTATCATGTGGCAAAGACATGCCAACATACAATACACATGCTATAGGACAGGCCAAGAAAAAGCAGATTACCCAAACATAACAGAACTAAAGATTACACTGGAGAACTATTTAGGTAACTGCATTTTGAAGGTACTTCAGATCTTCATTTTGCCAACATTTTTTTTTTTTAAATTCAAAATTTACACGATGAACTGACAGCGTTAAATATGAAGCATGTAAACCAGTGAGGGTGGTTCATCTTTGTAAGTTACCTGCTCTCGTTTGAGTTTCTCTCTCTTGCGGATGAGCTCCACTAGAAGTCTGGCTTTTTCAAGGTCGTGGCGAAGCTTCTGCCAATATCTCAGTGCGTCTCTTGCTGCAGAAATCTTCTCATCCACTTCAGGCTATAAAGTACAATTCATTTTAAAACTTCTACAAACTATATTTAAACATATTAAATATCAAAACATATTTAAAAGCAAACAATGATTTTAGAAAAACAGCTACAGAGTGTTAAGGCTTCATTTCTGTGCTCTTACCTGTTCAGTATTCCTTTGGGACTGGATGTTAGAGTGCAAACGCCGAACCAGCGGCACACCGTTCCTCGACTGTCGCTTTAATAACCAGTATTTATAAAGCCTCTGCATGAACTGATTTTTCTTCTGCAGAATAATTCCTTTACAGATGATATTCAGCCTATATAACAGAAGGAAATGCAGTATTATGTTACTATCAATATGGCAAACATCAATTCAGGCTTCTCACTGTAGAACGCGTGAATTATGGTTATTTGAAATATCAACTAGATCAAAAAATCTCCAACAATTTGCTGCTTTTGATAAACTTTGTTTTATCAGATGTTCAAGCTAACTGCAGAAAACAATCTTATTTTGGGGAAAAAAGGAAAAAATAAAACAAAAAAAACAACCTAACCTGCTCGTGGGTATCTGAGGCACTGTCACTTGTGGTGATGCTGTGTGTTGGGATGTTGAGTCTGCATTCTTTTTCCCCTTCTTTTTATCTGTCTTGGCATCATCGTCAGACTTTCTGCCTTTTTTCGGTGTTGTCGGACCCTCAGTGTAGGCACTCCGTCCTCTGCTCGCCCTCCCTCTGCTGCCCACCACTCGTCCCTCACTCTCATCATCTGACCCAGTCTCTTGTCCTGGCGGAGAATGGGCCTCACAGAAAGCAGTCTTCTTAACCGAGAACATAGTCCCGTTAATGTTTGTTTCTCGCACAGGTTCTATCTTCATAAAGAGCCCAGCACGCTGAGCGCATGTAACATGAAATGCAGTGTAACAGTTGGCTTTATGACACTGAATAGATGCACCACGACCCTTCTGCTTACACAGGCAGCAAGTCAGTTTCCATCGTGCTGGGGGAATGTTATTAACTCCTTCCACTGGTTCCAGAAATACCGTGTTAGCAAAACAGACCTCGGGGATCCATATAGCACAGACTACATGTGCCCAGCGGCCATCACTCGTTTGCTTGAATGCGCCGCCACGGTTTGGACACAGAACACAGTCAACAGGTTTCTGAGGGGACTGAAGGCAGCAGCGGCATAGCCACTGACCCTCAGGGATGTAGGGCACTCCGTAACACTCCTGGTGCACAGCCAGGTTGCAGGAGTCACAGAAGAGGATGACGTTGCTGTTGAGGCACTCGTCATCCAGGCACACGCAGCAGAAGGCATCATCATCAATAGTGCTTTGAGAAGGCGCTCGGCTTCGGGCTTCCAGATATGCCTCCTCCTCCAATCGGTCCACCAGCCGCTCAAATGTTTCTGCTGAGACAGTTGAGCAACCCTCTGATGTCCGATCAGCGTTGACCATCTCCAGCCAGGCAGTGTCCTCTTCGTCCATGTCATATTCTGCCTCAGTTTCCTCCTCAGCTGAGGTTTCAATATAACGATAATATGCTGCTGGCAGAGGAGGGGCCTCAACTGGCGTAAAGGTTTCCAGCACTCGAAACTTAGGTTCAGGAAGGGTCATGTGATGATACTGTGATTTGTTTAGCTTTTCCGGTGATGGCGGATGAGAATTGGGGCAACTGTTCTTGGAGGATGGTGGCGACTTATTAGAGGAACATTTGGGGTCTTTCCTGCGGCTTCGTGGTGTGACAGGTTTGCGGGCTGTTTGGGCACTGCTGGTGGGAGGTGATGACTGCTCACTGTTCTCCTTGTTGCTGTTACACTCACTAATGTCCTGAGCCATCATCTCATCTTCAGTAATGACTTCCAAAGGCTCCAGAATAGAAATTCGGTGAAGCCTACCTTCTAGTTCCACTTCAACCACCTTCTGGGCCTGGGCATATGTCAACGTTTCTCTGCTTGGAGAAGCTTTTAGGCTGTAGGGGGATGGTGATCGTTGACGGGCCCCCCCACGCCCGCCAAATGTCCCATTTGACTTTCTCACATCTCCACCTCCTCCGGCCACTTGGCCTTTTCGACGTGGCTTCCTCATAGGCCACCAATCACACTTTTCCTCCTGTTGGTTAGAAAAGGAAATAAAATAAGAACACTGACTATAAAAAACAGCCAACATAAAAACAAATTTCTATTAGCATTTAGGGATGCAACATTCAAATACGACACCAGCGTTCTCACTCAGAAGAAATATATATTATAAGCTCAATTCCCAATGCCAATCCCAATCATAACATTTCTTATTATTATGAGTCTATGCTGTACTAGCTGTCATTACCCATTTTCTACCTATACTTATGTTCTGCTGTCTCAATACTTCACTAATGCCCAAGTGGCTAAAGTTCTTTCCATATTAACTCATTGAAATAGTCCTTCGACGTACATTACATAATACTGTGGTGATATTAGGCTGTAGCACCTGTGGTAAAAACAGTCCGTCATATCTAAACTCAGAAAACTCTTAGTCACCTGCAAAAGCTAACAAAAGCTAACAGAACAAACCACTGTAATGACTACGTTAGCTGCCGAGCAGCAGACTTTACTGACAAAACACACATGGCCAATAAAATCTTGTGTAGATTATTCTCGACTATATGTTAATAACTGCTGGCATCTGCTATCACGGCTTGACCCAACACAGTGGTCAAATCCAATCAGCTTTCGGGAAAGCTTAAATGATCCGACTCAGAGCCAATCAGATTCAAGGATCCTAGAGCCTCAACAGAGCTGTGTCCTTATTTCAGGAGTAAAAATGTCAGCCATATTTACAGTTTTAAAAACACTGTCCAAAGATTTTCTACTGTTTAATTTTTAACAGTTGTTGATTTTGTACGATTGATGCAGTTGGTTTCATTTCATCGTGTCGGTATAAGAACAACAGAGTAATGTAACGGCACTAACATGAAAGTGCCGAGAGTCTATAAGCAGGCTAGCCTGCTAACTTTATAAGCTGGGAAGTACTAACGTTAGCTTGTCTGATATTTTTAAACATTGACAAGGTGCATGACACAAAAAATCCTTACTAGCTAAAACTTTTAAGCCTGTCAATGATCACAAAAGGGTAGTAAAATGGCAAATGTATGCCATCTTACCAATTATGGCAACTGACTGACAGGAGTAACTCGACAGCCCCGGTAGGTTGAAGCCGCTTTTGCTGTAATGGTTGCCTAGCCAGGCGGCTTACTTGCTATACTCTCCAAGCTAATAGCTACCGTTAGCAATCCACAGTTTGCTGGTATAGCCGGTATATTTCGCTATTTTTCAGCGCTTCCGTTTCTTCACAGCACGGCACTTGGAAGGCACGCAATCAATCCCAACGGCTCACTGAGAACAAAAGTAATATATCTACATTAAAATATGAGAAAGCCCTACTGTCGGCCCAATTTTAAGAGGAGGAGGAATACTAGCCTCCTTCGGCTAGTTGGCTAGCAATTTGGAGCCCAGAGCAAGCTAAACCGACATCACCCAACATAATAAGACTTCCGGTTAGATTTCAAAATAATGTCCAAGATTGAACGAGTGCATTTTCTTCTGCCACAAACACGACTCCGAATAACACCTACTTATGTCATCTACCCTTTTCCCCATCTAACATGTCCTTTTAAGAGTATTTCACTGCATTGCAGTCTAAGGAAAAATAGTAGTCGGTACACAAATGCGCTAGGTTGGGGGAGACGTCGTCCTGAGTATCTGGGCTTTCTCATGCTTGTACTTACAATGCTTATTGCTTTATTTATGTGTTATCTGATTTAGATGTACCACATGCCATTTGTAGAGCTTGTCTGATATAAAAGTCGGAATATCGCATTCCAACGCGATTACATTCATTTATTTTGAGAGAGAACTGTCTCACTTCCTTTTTCGAGCAACCTGTGGGCTACCTTGACAACAGTCAACCGAGACAAGTTTAGCCATCCCCCCCCTGACGTCACTAGACCACGATTTTCGCGCGCGAGATCACAGGGTCAGTGAAAAGTGTAGTTTTTCATTTAAACCCGAGTATCAACAATATTTGGCCGATTTACTAACGTGCATGTGTCCAGTCACTTTGGATATACAAAGCATGTGCACAGAGGTGCACCATCATTAATTACTGTCAAGAACGTGTATTAAAATACATATTTATCTTGCATTGTGAAACAATATTCATAATACATGAATACACATACAGTCTCTTAATGTACCAACCCTGTCCAGTGTATATTCAAGCAATGTCACAGATGATTCAACTCAGCTGCCTCCTGTGCAAATGAGAAAGGCCACATCATGTTGAATTTTTTAATTGGAAAACAACATTGCAGTAAATCTTACAAGAAACCCTGTAGCATTTAGTTACAATAAATCCACACCAAAATCCACTGACAGGAAATGTGTAACACTATGAACAAGCTACATTTAGGAAACAGTTGCACATTACGTAAAAAAAGGGGATGATACAGTTTTACTCTTTTGAACACTGATTCAGGATATTAACTAATAATAATAATAATAATAATGGATTGGATTTATATAGCGCTTTATATTTATATAACTGAGTAAAAGATATATATGATGAATCCAGGCTTAGAATATACAAGGGCACAATTGGTTGTATGCTTGTTGTTTGGGGCATCAGTAATTACATGACATTCATCAGATCATGGAGACATGGTCAGAGTGTTTTTCCTCTTGGAGTCCCGCCGTGGGAATGGCACAAAGCTTTTCACCTCCCTGAAACACAATCCTGTGTAAAAATAAAAAAATAAAAAGAGGGAACGGGGTGTCAACTTAAATCAAGTACATTATTTAAAATATATGATGGTATTATGTTCATTTATTAATATTAATCTTTTTATCTTTATTATCACCGCGTATAGTTAGAAAGCAAAAATGACTGTTTATAAACAAAAAAACCCCCAATCCATAATGTATACATATATTTATTATTATTATTCTTTGCAAGCCATGTATTCATTGTATAAGACAAAAACCAACAACAGGCACTATTTTGCCAGGCACTATATTCCTGTGGCCCCCAAGAGCCACTGCATTAAAAATTGGTTAGCAAAAATGAGTTACAAACAAAAACACATACGTAACATAGACGTAATATCACCATTCGTTTTGAGATCAGCATACGGATTTGTAAAGATTTGAGTGTTATGAAAATAATTCCCAAAAGTTTTATATAGATGTTGATAATCCTGGTACCCAAGGCAGTCTACACAGTAAGTTTCATTCAGATTGTTTAACACATGTAGGAGGACTTAGAGAGAAGACATAGAGACATGATTATCATAGTAAGATTTCCACTTACGCTTCCATTCATCTAGGGACAATGTGTCGTTGTCATGACTGTCATCATATGGCAGTGGTTTGGGGAAATCATCGGGGTCCCGCAAGTTGTCAAAATATGGGTGCTCTAGAGCTAGTTCCGCTGTGGGCCTCTCATCTCCATCCAGAACAAGCATCTTCTCCAGCAGATCAACCCCTACAAAAGGTCAGCAGTGTGGAATAATGCACCAGTTTACTACGATACAAAAACCATGAAACTGAAAAAGTAAGTGAATATTTATCACTTAGCAGGCCAGAAAATGGAAAAGCTTTCATTAACAGGGTATCATGAATGACTTTTCGAATTATAGCCATACAAAGAAGAAAAACACCAAAGAAAGAAACAAAAAGTGTGATTTAAAAAAAAAAGAATAAAAATGTGGGAAAAAAAAAAAAAGGTGCATCTCACCATGTGCACTAGCTCTGGGAAACAACATTGAGAAGTCTTTTCGGGGATATCGAGGAAGGCCCTTGACATAATTTCTGGCCTGTTTTAAGATATCAAACACAAATACCCAGACACAGAATATTTTTTATTCAATCTTTAAGTATGGCAACAATGATTTAGTTTAACTGTGATTACAAAATGAAATAATAAAAAAGGTCTTCATTTATCAAAGACAGGCTGATTGTTTCATGTTGTTATTTTGTAAAACTGAATTGTTTGTTATTCACCTTGCAAAAACGAAATAAATCCATAGATAGAACTATATTTGATTTCATACTCATATACAGCTACACAGTCCTTGTTCAAATATGACTTCCAAAGATGGAACTGTATATTCAATTCGTCACGTGTGCATGTGAGCCATCTTGTTAGCATTGTGCTGAAACAAGTCTAAGGCCATTTATAAAATCCTATAGAGTTGCAAAACAGGACTTTCCAAAAGCCTTAACTTCCTTCCTATTAATGCATCCTACTACAGGCTTTTATTAATGCCCTGACTGTTCCTCTAGTGCCACCCTCAGGACAATTTCTAGATTTTAACTACTCACATCTGGTAAAGAAAAAAAGGACATGAGAGTCCGGCAAAATTTCCCGTATGTCACTCTAGGTTGCAGTATGCTGTACATTTCTACCTCAGAGGGCTGTCGGTGGAACTTTCACTTTGTATGCTAATTTCATGGGTTTCAGTTTAGGATCTAGTGCACCACAGCTCAAATGCTTTCTGAGATATGATGCTTTTTTATGCTCACTCTGAGAGAAATCACTTATAAAAAAATGTTTAACATTAAAGGCAATGGACATTTGTAAAATTTTCTGTGCAGATAGTACTCCTAGTGCATAACTGCATATTTATGACGGTTCTTCCTACCTCTGGAGTGTCCAGCTTTTGGATGAACTCTGGCCCGGGCACACCAGTTACTTTCATGATCTGAGTCAGCTGGTCCATGTCTTATAGCAAACAGCTTATAATCAAGGATTTTTACTCTTACATTCGTGGTTCATTGAGCAGAACATAGAGATATGAAGCAGGCATGCAAAACAGAATAATAAAGGAAAATGACATCACAGAAAGACCTGTGATGTCTTTATTTCCTAGCAGAGCTATAAATCAGTTCACTGCATCAGAAGCAAAATAAGAACATAAAAGAGAAATATAACAAACGCAGGAGCATTTATAACAAGGTAGGGGGGAAAATTGACTCAGGAAATATGCCGCTTTTGCTCTGTATTAATATACTGTAACTGCCTCTTGTGCTTGATTTTGTGTCTTTATAGAGCTTGTCATCAAGCACCTTTCCATCTCCTATATTATTACAGTGGTTTAATAAAGTGATATTAAAGCTTTAAAGGGATTTCACACAGTGTGCTTGATACCATTCTCTTTGCATACTGACATTCATTATTCAACTTATTATTTATCACACAGGCTGGTAAAGTTTAGTAAATGGACCAAGCTGAAGAAAAGATACAATCTTTTCCTTTGAAGAGGGTCTTTCCATTGATCATTTCTGCCATTATGCAGCCCACAGACCAGATGTCCACTACAAGAAACACCAAAGGAAAGTAGCATTAGTGAGAAATCATGAAGAATACATAACACCAAGAGGGTTATAAGTTTAGCTGAGTGCAGCAGGAATGAGGAAGGTGGCATTTATATGCCAGAGCACAGTTCCTATTCACAGCAGAGAGCTGAATATGTTGTGTGCTTTGAAAGGGGGAATATTCAGTGAGTAATACTATCCTAAACTTGTCAGAGCTGCTTTCGCAGCTACACTCCACTCTGTGGATGCTATGTACAAAATGAAAAACCACTATCTCCTAAAGGAACATAAATCCTGGGTTTGCAGTGACAGTTCTGTCATTGAGTCTCAGCACTGTCAGACCATCTGTGTCAACAGATTAAGAGGAGAAAAACCCCCCCAAACATTTCTTTTCTCAAGATGACATCCATGCAACTTCAAATATTTGTCAGGAACTAGGAACAGGATTACAAAAGTTGCTGACCCTTGAAGAACCATACATGCAACAATGAAAGCTGGAGTGTCGAGACGTTTTCACGTAACAAACAACAAATGGTCACAGCACCAAGAGGCCAACTCTAGACGACAGAGAGAACGGTGGGAAAGAATATGTAACAGCTACAATTGTCTTGCCAGTCTGAGTGTAGTGCATCCAGTTCAGAATGACCTCAGGCGCCCGGTACCAACGGGTCACCACGTAGCCTGTCATTTCAGCATCAGTACTGCGAGCCAGCCCAAAGTCCAGGATCTGTATCAGCAGCAATGAAACGGATGACAATCTCAAACATGTACTTAGTGTCTCACAGGCTGTTTACTTTTAATGAAACACATAAAATATTGCATACATATATATGGCAATCTCATATAAACAATAACAAATGATTCTATCGTTTCAGGATTATTTCGAGTAGGTTTGCACAACTGTATGCAAATGAACTTCTTCTTCTACCTCCTGTATATTGTTAATTACATCGACTGCTGAGTCCTACTGTGTCTGCTGCCGGTGCTGCCCTATCATCTCACTGCTTCTCATATGCAGTAATGCAGAAAGTACATACCTTTAGTTCACAGTCTTGATTAACAGCCAAGTTTCCAGGCTTAAGATCCTGTTAGAGAAAATGAGTCGAATGACGGTTACTTAGTCCAAATGGTAATTAAGAAGAAATTACAGTGATTGGAGCACAGGCGCTTACTAGAGCCAGTAAGAGCTTTAGTGCACGTGCTTCCTGTGGTCTCACATGGCTCAGCTGAACTCAAACACAAGAATGTTGTGGGGACTTAAAACAAGGACTTCAATATCGTGACTCAACTACAAGATGACTATAAGACACACTGCCTCAACTCTGCAGTTAGTGCTGCAACATAAGGTGTGAGAAGTGTATCACTGTCAGTAGGTGTTGATAAAAATTTATCTGCTTTAAGCGTTATAGGAGTAACAGCAGGGTAACACTTCACAGTGTAGTGATTTGCACATTTGTCTAACAAGCCAAAGATCCCTGGTTTGAACTCAGGAGTGGACACACATCCCTCTGGGGCTGTGTCACGAAGAACATAAAAATCTGCTGCACCAAACATGGGGAGCTACCTGCTGTAGCAACCCAGTCTGAATAAGGAAGCCAGACTGAATAAGGAAGCCAGTCAGAATAAGGAAGCCAAAAGTGGCTCTTACTTTACCGACAGGTCTTTGACGTCTTGGAACTGGAGTTAAAGGGTGTGACCTAACAGCTCCAGACATGCACACGCATTAGAGGAGTTAAGTCATCCTACCTGTTTGGGCACGCTTTCATCTGACTGCTTAACAAATGAATTGCAAAATATATTTCCAAAGAACATGAGGAATACCAAATCTGCAATCTGAGTCACAACATTGTGCGGTACAAAATCCTGCACAGATTACAGTCTGAGTCTGAGGAAATCAGGTCGGAGAAGTGAGTCACTTCCTCCGACCTGAGGAAGTCGCCTATTTCTCGCTACAGATTATTGATCGGAAATTTTTCATTTTTTTTATTTTGTGCAGTGCTTTGTTTATCGTGTTACACTGGTGAAGCACATTGTGATACAGATTTTTAACAGTGCTATATAGATAAAGTTATCATCATTATTATTATTGACAATAACCTGAAAAAGTCAACTTATCATAAAACAGGAAAAAAGTTACTCCCAAAACAGCTCAGCTTCCTGTAATGGGACAATGAGTTATACTTACCCTGTGGATAATCCCAGCCTTATGAATGTACTGCAAAGGAATAAACAGAGCAGCAACACTTTAGTTTACTTTGTCATTTTTTACCATGCCTAGTTAGGCTAAATTCAAAGTAAAATTTTATTAGAGGAGTTTGATGAATAACTTTTTGGCCACACAGCAAATACCTTTTAATTAATAACTAGGCTTGTTAATAATTATATCCATTGCATTGTGTGTTTCATTGACTCATTTAAAGCAAAAAAGGCTAACTCTCCTGTAATTTCTCTGTAAGTATGTGCTACATGATACATACAGTCATGTAAATCCTAATCATGAAATATTTATGATAATTACTAATAATCTGTTATTTTATCTTTTATTATTAATAAATAGCAAAACATGTGATTGCAGTCTTTCAGCTTTAATCCAAAGGGATTGAAAGAAGTGTTGCATTAACTGTTTAGGAATTAAAGCATTGTTTATACACAGTCCTCCATATTCTGAGGCTCAAACCAAATTGACAATTGAATCATAAGCAACTTTATCTCAGGTGAGGCTTGAAATAACATGTGACATTGATTCAGTTGAATTTGTATTTCACAGCTTTTCACTCTCATTTTAAACACGATAGCCCAAGTGACAGAGGCCAACATGAGGCTGAAAACAGCTTCGCAACATTGAGCCAAGTCAAGAAAACTTGTGAGAAATCAGCTGTATCATTTTTTAAAAGTGGATAATCAAGAAAATCCCTCATGAATGGAAATACAGAGATTTTGCAACAAATCGTACGCCACTAGACTTAAGAACACGTGTGTCAGGTTAGACTTTGCCAGAAAACATCTAGAAGAGCCTGTAAAAATTCTGGACAAACATTTTTTGGGTCAGAATGACACACCTATCAGGACAGATTCCACTTGTACATTTCTGTATTGTATACACTACAGTTCTCTAAGATACTGGAAAAACTCTTCATAAAAAGATTTGACAGTTTTGTGGAAAAATATGAATTAATGACAGATAGTCAGTATGGGTTCAGAAGCAACAGATCAACAGCTTTGGCACTGATAGATTTAATGGAAAAGATAACGGAATGTATGGATAATAAGAGGGCATTTGATACTGTTAATCATGAAATTCTATTAAAAAAAACTGGAAAAGTACGGGTTTAGGGGAGTGGTTTTGGAATGGTTAAAAAGCTATGTAGGGAATAGGCAACAATATGTACAAATAAATGAATATAAATCTAATTTGATGGATATAGCTTGTGGAGTACCTCAAGGTTCAGTACTGGGTCCAAAAATGTTTATTATGTACTTAAATGATATCTGCAGAGTATCGGAGATTTTAAAGTTTGTAATATTTGCAGATGACACAAATATACTGTGTTCAGGTGTGGAATTGCCACAGGTTTTGGGGATGATCACACAGGAATTAACGATATTAAAGAAGTGGTTTGATATAAATAAATTATCATTGAATCTAGATAAAACCAAATTTATGTTGTTTGGAAACCAAAAGAAAAACATCAAAGTAGAAATATGTGTTGACAATGTATATTTAGAAAGAGTAAATGAAATAAAATTTCTTGGGGTGATCATTGACCACAAGCTCTGTTGGAAGCCACACATTACTTATGTTCGGGGGAAATTGGCACGGGGCATTGCCGTCCTGGGGAAAGCAAAGCATATGTTGGATCAGAAAGCACTGCACATTTTATACTGTGCTTTACTACTGCCATATATGAGCTACTGTGTAGAGGTCTGGGGAAACACATACAAAAGTAACACACAAACAATAACTATAATACAGAAAAGGGCCATTAGATTAATAAATAATGTAGGGTACAGGGACCATACAAATGCACTCTTTGTCAAAATGCAAGCTATTAAATTCCAAGACTTGGTGAAGCTTAAAACAGCGCAAATAATGTATAAAGTAAGAAATAAATTGCTTCCCAAAGAAATCTGTAAATTGTTCATAGAAAGAGAAGGTGGGTATAACTTAAGAGGGAAATGGAATTTAAAAATACAAAGTGCTAGAACAACTTTAAGAACTATGTCTATCTCAATTGCAGGAGTTAAATTATGGAACAGTCTAACAGAAGAAATAAAAGACAGTCAAAACATAAAACAGTTTAAAGTAAAATATAAAAACCTAATTTTAAATAAGTATAAGAATGAAGAAAACGGGGTTAACCCAGGACGGTAATGTTGCTGGTAATGGTGTTGTGGTTCTTTTTTGGTTTTTTTGTTTTGGTTTGTTTGTTTTTCCATAACTTGTGTATCTGCAAATATACACATTCTGTATTTTTCATATGAAAGAAACTATACTGTGGTGGGGCTTGCTAATTTCTTGTTTTTGATTTATGTATGTTTTGTTTTGTTTTGCTTTACTTTTGTTTCATATGTTGTTTGTTTAATTTAAGACTAAAAAAAAATTAAATGAATGAGAGGTAAAACTTGAGGGGGTAGGGACAAATAAGTAAATACTTCTGCCTACTCCTTTTCAAACAAATAATGGAATGATATTTTGTAATGATTGTGAAGGCACATGTTTGAAATGTTTGAAATAAAAATGAACTGAACTGAATTATTAATGCCATTTCCACTTTTGCACAATCCCAATCTTTTGTCATTTAACTTTGCTTTATCTTAACTTTTTATTTCCCTTTTTTAAATTACTGTTGTAAATATATTTTTTTGGCACTACCTCAAATTATAGGGTATTCACTCTGGGCCTGTGGTACTTTTATTTTTAACAATGTTGTTTTTTTTAATTGTAGAATATAATATTTTTAGTCTTCATCCTGCAGCTGTATCATAGTAATTTCCCTTGTGAAATTGACAGAGTATGCATCAATCTGTCTGTCCTTCTGTCTGTCTGCCACTGAAACTGGACCATTAGTGATTATTGATGATGTGTCTGCTGATAGAAACAACAGGATGAATTCTGAAGCGTACAGGGCTATGTTCTCTGCTCTGATTCAGCCAAACTCTGCTGAACTAATCAGACAAATGGGAGTTTCTTAAGGCAAAGAATGTAGACATCTAAGTCAGTCACCTAATATCAACCCAACACAGCAGGCTTTTTTTTTTTTAAGTTATTGAATATAAATAGGAAGACCCCATAAACCAATTAGCAACTGAAGATGAAGGTGAGTTGGTGGTGCCATAGTGGTGTTGTACAGAGGCTAACTACAAAAAAACCCACGTCTTTGTCCAATAAATTTTGGAACAACATATACAACAGTATTATTCTGACATGACTCTGTTAAACAGTTACATTGGAATATAAATATAGTTCATTTCTGAAGTTTGGTAGAGATCATCTTTGGCTCACCCTGAGTCCACAAAGCATCTGGTAGACAAGAAACTGGACTTTGTCTTCTGAGAGTTGACCCCGCACCTTTGACAGGTCAGTAAACATGTAAGGCATTACCAGGTAGCTGGGGGGGGGGAAAAAAAGAGGAAGAGAGGTGCAGTGAGACAACCCTGAGGCAGAGAGTAAAGTAATTACCTCAGCCTAACAGTCCAAACATGATATACGACACTGCCTTAGCAAGTCATCCTATTCTTAACTTCCACACCCTGTCTGTGCTGTAATCTGTCCTGTCTCCCTTTGACCAAGGAGCTTGGTGGACTTGCGTATGTTTACATAACTTCCAAATAAAATATTCTTCCACCTTTTTTAGAGTCTCCTCATGTGATGCAGCAGCAGCTTAAATCTTAGCTGTGCATGTGAGAAAGCAAATGTCTCCATTAAAATTAAACTACCATAACAATTATAGGTTGTTCATTTCTTGGTAAATGAGCAAACTTACAAATTCAGCAGGGAATCAAATAATTATTACCCCCCACTGAATAATACATGACAATTAAAGGACAATATGTCCTCTTTAAGGTAGACAGAAAGTGTGCTTTCAGTGTGGGAAAGGCTCTTTCACAGGCATGCTCACATGTTTCCTGGAAAGTGAAAGAAAAATTAAGTTGTCATATTTTTCTTTAACGTTACAAGTAGATGTCGCAACATGTCTCACAGAGTAATCTTATATGATCCTGACTATAAAATCTTTCCCTAATCACTCTAAACTAGAAAAACCCCACAGATTTTTTCTGCAAGTACTGCATTCCTCCAAGAGTTTTAGTGTCGAGTGCTTAAAGAGAAAAAACAGATCTCTGACAGCATGTGCACCATGCTAATGTGGCGACTGTGGCAGGAGGCAGAGTGGCGCATCCACCAATTAGAAGGTTGGTGTTTTGATTCCCGCCTTCTCCAGTCTGTATGTTGATGTATCCTTGGGCAAGATACTGAACCCCCAATTACCCCTGATGGAGCCACTGCAATTTGAGTGTGTGCGAAAATGTTAGAAAAGAGCTTAGGGATATGACTGGTATCAAACAGCTCCATCCAAGGAGAAATACCGCCATTAACTTCCGTCTCTATGTGGGACCAGATGGGTTTAACTGGTGCAGTAGGTAACCAAGCAAGGGCAATGAAAAACCTCCTTGTTTTGCACTCGCTTGAGGTTTCTTAATACTTAAACGATGCAGTGAGCTACCCCAAAGAAACTGCCAGATCAAAAAGTCTAAATCTTTGAAATACTTATCTGGAATGTGTAATGGAATATTAGATAAAATATAAAATATCATGGGTGCAGTTATCATCGTAATACAACTAATTTGGTAGGGTAAGGAGATTTGGTATCTCACCAAAACTGTCCATACTTGGTATAACCACAGAACTTTCTGATGGGAGATTTTCGCAGTTATACAAAAAGATGGATTATTTTGGCTCTTACTACGGCCAAACGGGTCCTGCTAAGGCATTGGCGGAAAAAGAACCCCCCCTCCCTATGAAGAGTGGCTAATGACAATGGCTAAGTTGGCGTCTTACGAAAAAGTGACTTATGGTTTATTAGACAAATTGCATCAATATGATTGTATTGGGCCCCCTTTACAAGCTGGCTTTCTATAACTTGAAGAACAGAGGAGTAATGACAGAGTGGTGGTGTGGGGATTGGTGTGTGAAGAAAGAATAGGATAACTTCCCTTTGTTTTGGTTTTTGTTTTGTTTTTTTGTTGTTGTTGTTTTTTAAACTATTTATTTATGTATTTATCCTTAAGTTCTGTTATTGAAGTTTAAAATGAAATAAATAAAAATTGTTGATGATAAAAAAGAAAAGAGCTCAGGGATAGAAAAAAGTGCTTTTATAAATGTGTGTGTGTGTGTGTGTGTGTGTGTGTGTGTGTGTGTGTGTGTGAGGCTTTAGTAGTAAAAAGTGCTTTGAATTCTTAATTAGACTAGAAAAGTGCTGTATAAGCACCAGTCCATTTGAACCTGCAGATCATTTAAAGTGTTGTCTGCCTTTCCCCGAGCGGTTTGCTAATAAGATGAAGAATACTCACAAGTCCTGGAAGTCATCCAGGCTTAGGGCAGGTGTAAACACATCGATAAGTCCTATCACCTAGTTGGAATGAAAGAAGCAGGTGACAAATACTAAAACATACAAGCAATGGCTCATTTACAGAATATTACTGCATCACAGTGCTGTTACAATGCAAAAAACACAACTTCCTAAAAGCGACTGAGTATGCATAGTGTATAGTCTACTCACATTTTCATGTTTCATGTGTTTGAGCAGTCGGAGCTCTCGGTAGGCCCTCTTAGCAAAGATCTCTGACTGGAAAGGCCTGTGGAGCTTTTTAATGGCCACCTTTTCTTTATTCTTCTCATTTAGTGCTGAGCTGTTGGGAATGATAATGTAACAAGTCATTAGCTGGCTGCTGTTGCTTGGACCTTTTAGTCTCACTATAATGTTCACCATTTGAAAACGATAGTCTATTTTTGGGGTTTCAGTCACACTTAGAGGCTGTGTATGAAACACAACGCAAAAGCATAGATGATGTGAGATAGAGATACTGTACGTGGGACTCATTCTCTAAATGTGTGGTGGTCTGTGGTTTACTGAGTTATCAATATGTGAATGTTTGGCAGCTCTTGACGTGCATGTTTGCAGGGCACCAAATCGTAGGAGGACAGGCTTGTTAGGCTATTTGGAGCCGCATCCACCAACACACACTGCACACTTCACTGTGTGCTGTGAACAACACTGATGCAGTAATGTCAAATATTGCAGCCGGCTTTACATGAAACAGCTAATCCATGCCAAGCAAATAGCTACAATAAAAACAAAACAAAACAAAACAACAACAAAAAACATGAAACTGCAGGCTGTGCTTCTGTTTGTTATTTCCTTTCCCTCCTCCATTTACAGGTAGGTTCAGATAATGTTCACGGTGTTCATGAGATGCTGCTTCTTTTAAAGGTCGACCAGTCTGAGCTTTTTAACAGATCATAACTCCCACACTATTATGCTTAAAGCCTAGTCAGCATGCCTGAACACTGCTGCTGTGACAACAGGAGCTTTCAGGTCAGTAAAGAGTTTTTTCACCGTTTATCTAGGTTCTCAAAATTTTACCTACTAAGATTTATCCGTTAATTCAGTTCATTTCAATTGTATGTATATAGTGCCAAATCACAACAACTGTCACCTCAAGGCCCTTTAAATTTAGTCCAATTTAAACTAAGTGCTGTCATAATTTATGAGTTTATATTTTTAGTCAAAATAAGTTAGAACAACTGTGTGGTAAAGTTCATTAGGAAGGCACATTTGACAGTGAAGAAAATCAGTGATTTCAACAATAACGTAAGGGTTAATGTACACAATAATGGATAAAAGGCAAAAGGCTGGCTTTTTTTCTTCAAATATATTGACCTTTGGTTATTCTTAAGAGCACTTACGTGACAGCAATATGAAACGTAGCAATGGCCTTGTGTGTTTGACAGCTGCCACTGTTCCAGCATTTGCCATTTTATCCCTCATGACATATTAATATAATAATAGGCTTTAGCGCTTTCTGAATAGCTCTTCTCAAATGGTTCTTTACAGTTATTAACATTTTATGAAGGCAGCTACATGACTAAACTTGAAGCATTCTAAATGTGCAAACAGAAATTATTTTAGAAACCCTAATCAGGGATTGTATGTATCCAGTTAGCCAAATAAAAACCAGGGAGGTTGTAAAAACGCAATGATAAGTGATGTTGGCTGTATCTAGTTTCCTTAATGGTTTGACACCCGATCCCCCATTTTTATGTAAGCCTGCAAAAATAATTGTATTGCTAAAAAAACCCCAACAACAACAAAAAAAGAACCCAAAACAAAAAAAGAGAAAACAAAACATTTAAATTGCTGCACGTTTTTACGTAAACAGTTATTCTGGTGTTTAACTGTATCCTGTATGTAACTGTATGATGCCATGAAAATGGAAAGTGGCCATCTTTAATACAGCCTTTCAATCATAACTCCTACTCCTACTGCAGGTAAACATAAGACTAAGGTAAGGTCCACATAACGGGCTGTGTGGTCGTCGTGCTATAATAGGTGCTTACTTGCTACATGAGTTGACTGATTGTGCGACCACTCTATGTTAGACTGTACAGGATATAACGCAGGCCCACTACACACTGTGTGCAGCCAGTGTAGCTAACGTGAATGAGCCCCAAATGCGACACACACTTCTTGCAGTGCACAGTAAATGATAAATCACTCACCATACCGAGCCGTAAGCCCCGGTCCCTATCTGTTTCAGGTGCGTGTATTTCTCCTGGACTTCCCACACCGTGCTGTTAATTTCCTCACGGGTGAAATGTGCCCGAGTCTCCATGATGAAGAGGAGCAAGCGAAGCTACAAAAAACTTCTCCCTCCTCCCGTGTGCCTGTCACTTGCTCAGAAGGTAAAGCAAAACACTCACTGTTCAAGTACCAGCTATTACGCCTTACATCCCACTTCCGTTAACAGTTTTCAAAATAATTTCCAACCGTCGCTGCGTGGGAGTGATGCAAGAATAAAACAGGCAGCTAGACTGAATATATTATATAGAGCTCATTAAAAAAACAGAAAGAATTCAGCAGGGCTGCTAATTGTGATACAAGCAATCTACTCGATAAACCAGACTGTTAAATGTTCTTTTTAAGACTCAACTTTTATCTTACACTATTATATCTGATCATAGTTTATAATGAAGCTTTACTTTGAAAGCAAAAACCAACTTCCGGTGTAATCCTCTGACGCCCTTTACACTGCGCCCTCAGTACCAGTATGAGGCATCTGTTTGCAAGCAACTAGTTAGTCTGTACAAGCATAACCTGATGTAGGCGTTGCTTTGTAGAAGACTGTTTGATCAGAAAAAATGAAACCTCCATCCAATGTGTGGAAACATAACTGAAAAACCTGCTAAAACCACGAAATTAGCAGTGTAAAGAATCAGACGAGCGGACGGCTTGCTTGCTGAAACATGTCGACATGACTCGATGTACTCTCACCCACGCACAGTAGGTGTCATTTGTCATGAATAATTACTGTACGTTGCCAGAAGTTTGTGAATCATGACAGCCTACAGCAGGCCCCATTCACACATACAGGAATCGACGAAAACACGAAGCCTGGAGGTTTTGACTTTCTATACAATATGTTGGTTTTGTAGCTTTAAAAATTCATAACCTGTTACTGCTATATTATGTACATTTTACATACATTTTAACTTAAAAAAAATCTTTTTGTGCCCGATTTTCAGCACCTGTGTATTAGAGCTGTTAAAGTCTGCAAATGTAGGGTGTCATCAAAGCACCCTACACCCCTGGATCTGCTCTCTAGTGTGTTTTCCCTTTCTGAGTGGGAATTGTGTGTTACAGTGACATGTGTTAGTTTTCACAACTTAGCCAACAAAATTAGAGTTTCCTTAAGTATTGATAGCATATTACTATCAGCATTTTTACCTCTAAATCAATAAAGAAAATTTCAATAAATCATTCAAATTTTTTAAAAGAACTGATTAGGAGGGGAAGATATACTGAGAGACAAAGTATTAATAAAAACTTATTAATAAAGTGTTATTAAAACTACAGTTTTACAATCGCAGGAATAACCAAATGCAATATATATATCTATATATGAAGTGATAGTTATATATATATATATATATATATATATATATATATATATATATATATATATATATATATATATATATATATATATATATACACACATATACATATATATATATTGACCTGTATTACCTGTTCAGGATGAGTCAGTGAAGCCCTTCTGTTTTGGCTAGTCAAAAGGGATGATGTGACTGTTTTTAAGTGTTTCTGCTGCAGAGCACAAATTGATCATAATGTACCTGTGAGTGCTGAAAGGGTCATGAATCAATGCCGATGACTCAGCCATGTGGTCAGCTGTTAAACCTTTATTTGGCGTAAATACAAACACCTAGAGCTTTAAGACCTAATCTTATCAGCCTCTGTTTAGTCATCTGACCTGCAAGCAGACTAACATTAACAAGGTTAAAAACTGGACCTGATAGTTGTACTATATGAAAAGTATAAGGATCATTGAGATGATGACACGTCATCCTGAGAGGATTTTTTTCTCAAGAAGATTATGTCTACAATTTCAACCATATGTGTGCTTCTCCACATTCAGTCATTAAACTGTACTGTGGTAAATTAAGGAAGTAAGACGTCTGTGAAACTAATGATGAGTCAGATCTCTGTCTCAGATGAAATTAAAAGTTCAGACAACCATTTTCATGACACAAATTCTAAATCTAATCTTATGAACATCAGCTGGATCCAATGCAGTTTGCATATAGGCCCAACAGAGGAGTGGAGGACGCACTTTTGACTTTACTAAATCTGAATTCTTAAACATGTAGAGAGTAAAGGGACTTTTGCAAGACTTCTTTTCATTGATTTTTCTTCGGCTTTTAATACAATACAGCCCCATATTTTAATTAAAAGACTTTTAGAACAGTTTGAAATCAGGAAAAACCTGGTGGGCTGGATTTTAGATTTTTTAACTGACAGGTCACAAAGAGTGAGAATAAATGGGGTTCTGTCTGACCCAGTGTTCTCCTCCACAGGTTCTCCTCAAGGGTGCGTCCTATCGCCCTTATTATTCACTCTCTATACAAATATGTGTCAGAGCAGACATGAAAACAGGGTCATTATTAAATATGCAGATGACTCTGTTATTGTCAGCTTACTGAAAGAGGGTGAAACTAACCACGGTCCAGTCATTGATGACTTTGTTCAGTGGTGTGAGGAGTCTTATCTCCAGCTGAACATATCTAAAACAAAAGATATGGTTGTTGATTTTAGGAAACAACAAAATGGGCACGGAGTCACTTTAATTAAAGGTCAGAAAATAGAGCAAGTGCAATCACATAAATATCTTGGGACCATAATCAATGAAAAACTGAACTTTGATCAAAATTTCAAATCAGTTTGTAAAAAGGGTCACCAGCACCTTTATTGCCTTAGGAAACGTGCTCATTTCCACATTGACCAAAAAATTTTAACTTTGTTTTATCGTTCTTTTATTGAGTCTGTTTTATCCTTTTGTTTGGTGGCATGGTTTGGTCAGACCTCTGTCACAGAGAAAAACTCTCTAAATCAGTTAGTGAGATGGTCCAGTCATCTGATAGGTGAGCCACAGTCTTGTTTAGCCTCCCTGTACTCCAAGCAGGTACAGAGGATGGCTTTATCATTCCTTAAAAATAGTTCCCATCCGCTAAGGGGTGAATTTCAGCTTCTTTCCTCAGGACGGAGGTTTCTATTTCCGAGATAGCTTTGTCCCCGTTGCTGTCACTGAATTAAATAAGAACTGTTTTTGATTCGAAATATTAAATTACTATATATGTGCTACAGGGAGGTTTATATCTTTATTAGGTATGTGTGTTTTTGAAGGGATGCCAAATGCTATCATTTTTTCTGTAAAGCAGATTTACCTTGCCTGTGGGTATAAATAAAGTTACCTTGACCTCCTGTAATGATCCTCCTGACACAACAAACAGCGCTTACCTCATCTGCAGGTTATACATATTGCAAAGTCATGCAGCAGGGTGCACTGAACTGGATCAGATCTGGCATATTGACACCCCTGAACTAGCTGATAAGTCATTTCATACAAAACCATATATGTGAGTCTCATGGAGGCACTGCATTACTCATTCTTTCATCTCTGAGTAGAAGGAGCACATTTTAGTTTTGACCATTTTCAGCTGCCCAGGCAGTATGTGGGAAACATTATTATACACTATATTACCAGAAGTATTTCCCCTTTTGCCTTCACACACATATAACTGAGATCCCAGTCTTATTCCATAGGGTTTAATATGGTGTCGGCCAACCCTTTGCAGCTACAACAGCTTCAACTCTCATTGGAAGGCTTTCCATAAGGTTTAGGAGTGTGCTTATGGGAATTTTTGACAATTCCTCCAGAAGGACATTTGTGAGGTCAGGCACTGATGATGGATGAGAAGGCCGGCCTTGAAGTGTATGCTCTAATTCAGCGGTCCCCAACCCCCGGGCCTCGGACTGGTACCGGTCCGTGAGTTGTTTGGTACCGGGCCGCGAGAGTTGAGGCTCAGGAGAAGAGGTGAGTTTTAAGAGCAGTTTTAAAAGTTCCTAGGCTTGTGGAGAATCTGATGTGAGGAGGTAAACTGTTCCACAGTCTGGGTGCAGCCACAGCAAAAGCCCTCTCTCCCCTAGTCTTTAGTCTGTACCTGGGAACATCTAAAAGCATCAGGTCTGCTGACCTCAAAGATCTCCTGGGGCGGTAAATGCTAAGAAGCTCTGCCAGGTAAGGAGGTGCAGTACCGTTAAGAACCTTAAAAACCAGCAGTAAAATTTTAAAATCAATCCTAAAAGCAACTGGGAGCCAGTGGAGAGAGCAGAGGACCGGAGTGATGTGGTCTCTCTTTTTGGAACCGGTCAGCATGCGAGCAGCAGCGTTCTGCACCAGTTGGAGGCGATGCAGACAGGAACGATCTAAACCAGCATAAAGGGAGTTACAGTAGTCCAGCCGTGATGTAATAAAAGCATGGACCACCCTTTCTAGATCGTTCCTGCACAGGTAGGACTTGACTTTAGCTAAAATCCGTAGATGATAAAAAGATCCCTTGACTACGGAGCTGATTTGTTTATCAAATTTAAAAGCACTGTCAAAAGTAACACCGAGGCTCTTAATGGAGGAAGTACATTCGGAAGTTAGGGGTCCCATAAAATCAAAGGAAAGGTCGGGGTCTTTAGGAAGCCCAAACACAATGACTTCAGTTTTACTTTCATTTAGATGTAGAAAGTTAAGAGCCATCCAAGTCTTAATGTCAGACAAACAGGAGAATAACGGCTGCAGAGAGTCCTTACAGTCTAACCTCAGAGGGAGGTAGATCTGAATGTCATCAGCAAAGGTGTGGAAGGACACATTATGTTTGCGCCAAACTTCATGTGGCCATTAGATTAGCTAAAGAACAGTGTGTAGAGAACTTGATGGAATGGGTTTCCATGGCCGAGCGCAATATAGAGAAGTGGAGACATGTTCTCTGGAGTGATGAGTCACGCTTCTTCATCTCAAAATGTGATGGACAAGTCTGGGTTTGGCAGTTACCATGAAAACAGTACTTGTCTTACTGCATTTTGCCAAGTTTAAACTTTGCTGGAGGGGGTGTGGGGTTGTTTTTCAGAAGTTGGGCTCAGCTCTTTACTTCCAGTGAAAGAAACTGAAAATATTTTGTGCAATTTCATGCTCCCAACTTTGTAGGAACAACTTGGGGATGGCTCCTTCCTGTTCTAGCATGGCTGTGCAGGAGTGCACACAAGCAGGGTCCTTAAAGACATGGCTGAGTGAGTTTGGTGTGGAAGAATCTGACTGGCCTGCACAGTCCTAAACTCAACCCGAGAGAAAACCTTTGGGATGAATTAGAGCAGCGGCCCCAACCTTTTTTGCACCACGGACCGGTTTATGCCCGACAATATTTTCACGGACCGGCCTTTAAGGTGTCACGGATAAATACAACAAAATAAAACTAGTACCGGTACCGAAAAAAAGAAGATTTATTCATAACACACGTGAAAAGACCCAGGAAAACCGAGTTAACGATAAAAACGATAACAAAATAACGCTGAAAACCGATAAAAACCCTGAAAACCATACATTTCACACCTGAGCCTCAACTCTCGCGGCCCGGTACCAAACGACTCACGGACCGGTACCAGGTCCGAGGCCCGGGGGTTGGGGACCGCTGAATTAGAGCATACACTTCAAGGCCGGCCTTCTCATCCATCATCAGTGCCTGACCTCACAAATGTCCTTCTGGAGGAATTGTCAAAAATTCCCATAAGCACACTCCTAAACCTTATGGAAAGCCTTCCAATGAGAGTTGAAGCTGTTGTAGCTGCAAAGGGTTGGCCGACACCATATTAAACCCTATGGAATAAGACTGGGATCTCAGTTATATGTGTGTGAAGGCAAAAGGGGAAATACTTCTGGTAATATAGTGTATAATAATGTTTCCCACATACTGCCTGGGCAGCTGAAAATGGTCAAAACTAAAATGTGCTCCTTCTACTCAGAGATGAAAGAATGAGTAATGCAGTGCCTCCATGAGACTCACATATATGGTTTTGTATGAAATGACTTATCAGCTAGTTCAGGGGTGTCAATATGCCAGATCTGATCCAGTTCAGTGCACCCTGCTGCATGACTTTGCAATATGTATAACCTGCAGATGAGGTAAGCGCTGTTTGTTGTGTCAGGAGGATCATTACAGGAGGTCAAGGTAACTTTATTTATACCCACAGGCAAGGTAAATTTGCTTTACAGAAAAAATGATAGCATTTGGCATCCCTTCAAAAACACACATACCTAATAAAGATATAAACCTCACTGTGGCACATATATAGTAATTTAATATTTCGAATCAAAAACAGTTCTTATTTAATTCAGTGACAGCAACGGGGACTATATAAGCTGTCCTATCTCGGAAATAGAAACCTCCGTCCTGAGGGAAGAAGCTGAAATTCACCCCTTAGAGGATGGGAACCATTTTTAAGGATTGATAAAGCCATCCTCTGTACCTGCTTAGAGTACAGGGAGGCTAAACAAGACTGTGGCTCACCTATCAGACGACTGGACCATCTCACTATCTGATTTAGAGAGTTTTTCTCTGTGACAGAGGTCTGACCAAACCATGCCACCAAACAAAAGGATAAAACAGACTCAATAAAAGAACGATAAAACAAAGTTAAAATTTTTTGGTCAATGTGGAAATGAACAAGTTTCCTAAGGCAATAAAGGTGCTGGTGACCCTTTTTACAAACTGATTTGCAATTTTGATCAAAGTTCAGTTTTTCATTTATTATGGTCCCAAGATATTTATATGATTGTACTTGCTCTATTTTCTGACCTTTAATTAAAGTGACTCCGTGCCCATTTTGTTGTTTCCTAAAATCAACAACCATATCTTTTGTTTTAGATATGTTCAGCTGGAGATAAGACTCCTCACACCACTGAACAAAGTCATCAATGACTGGACCGTGGTTAGTTTCACCCTCTTTCAGTAAGCTGACAATAACAGAGTCATCTGCATATTTAATAATGACCCTGTTTTCATGTCTGCTCTGACACATATTTGTATAGAGAGTGAATAATAAGGGCGATAGGACGCACCCTTGAGGAGAACCTGTGGAGGAGAACACTGGGTCAGACAGAACCCCATTTATTCTCACTCTTTGTGACCTGTCAGTTAAAAAATCTAAAATCCAGCCCACCAGGTTTTTCCTGATTTCAAACTGTTCTAAAAGTCTTTTAATTAAAATATGGGGCTGTATTGTATTAAAAGCCGAAGAAAAATCAATGAAAAGAAGTCTTGCAAAAGTCCCTTTACTCTCTACATGTTTAAGAATCAGATTTAGTAAAGTCAAAAGTGCGTCCTCCACTCCTCTGTTGGGCCTATATGCAAACTGCATTGGATCCAGCTGATGTTCATAACAGAGTTAGAATTAGAATTTGTGTCATGAAAATGGTTGTCTGAACTTTTAATTTCATCTGAGACAGAGATCTGACTCATCATTAGTTTCACAGACGTCTTACTTCCTTAATTTACCACAGTACAGTTTAATGACTGAATGTGGAGAAGCACACATATGGTTGAAATTGTAGACATAATCTTCTTGAGAAAAAAATCCTCTCAGGATGACGTGTCATCATCTCAATGATCCTTATACTTTTCATATAGTACAACTATCAGGTCCAGTTTTTAACCTTGTTAATGTTAGTCTGCTTTGCAGGTCAGATGACTAAACAGAGGCTGATAAGATTAGGTCTTAAAGCTCTAGGTGTTTGTATTTACGCCAAATAAAGGTTTAACAGCTGACCACATGGCTGAGTCATCGGCATTGATTCATGACCCTTTCAGCACTCACAGGTACATTATGATCAATTTGTGCTCTGCAGCAGAAACACTTAAAAACAGTCACATCATCCCTTTTGACTAGCCAAAACAGAAGGGCTTCACTGACTCATCCTGAACAGGTAATACAGGTCAATATATATATATGTATATGTGTGTATATATATATATATATATATATATATATATATATATATATATATATATATATATATATATATATATATATATATATATAACTATCACTTCATAGCTATAGATATATTTGCATTTGGTTATTTACTGCGATTGTAAAAACTGTAGTTTTAATAACACATTTATTAATAAGTTTTATTAATACTTTGTCTCTCAGTATATCTTCCCCTCCTAATCAGTTCTTTTAAAAAATTTGAATGATTTATTGAAATTTTCTTTATTGATTTAGAGGTAAAAATGCTGATAGTAATATGCTATCAATACTTAAGGAAACTCTAATTTTGTTGGCTAAGTTGTGAAAACTAACACATGTCACTGTAACACACAATTCCCACTCAGAAAGGGAAAACACACTAGAGAGCAGATCCAGGGGTGTAGGGTGCTTTGATGACACCCTACATTTGCAGACTTTAACAGCTCTAATACACAGGTGCTGAAAATCGGGCACAAAAAGATTTTTTTTAAGTTAAAATGTATGTAAAATGTACATAATATAGCAGTAACAGGTTATGAATTTTTAAAGCTACAAAACCAACATATTGTATAGAAAGTCAAAACCTCCAGGCTTCGTGTTTTCGTCGATTCCTGTATGTGTGAATGGGGCCTGCTGTAGGCTGTCATGATTCACAAACTTCTGGCAACGTACAGTAATTATTCATGACAAATGACACCTACTGTGCGTGGGTGAGAGTACATCGAGTCATGTCGACATGTTTCAGCAAGCAAGCCGTCCGCTCGTCTGATTCTTTACACTGCTAATTTCGTGGTTTTAGCAGGTTTTTCAGTTATGTTTCCACACATTGGATGGAGGTTTCATTTTTTCTGATCAAACAGTCTTCTACAAAGCAACGCCTACATCAGGTTATGCTTGTACAGACTAACTAGTTGCTTGCAAACAGATGCCTCATACTGGTACTGAGGGCGCAGTGTAAAGGGCGTCAGAGGATTACACCGGAAGTTGGTTTTTGCTTTCAAAGTAAAGCTTCATTATAAACTATGATCAGATATAATAGTGTAAGATAAAAGTTGCGTCTTAAAAAGAACATTTAACAGTCTGGTTTATCGAGTAGATTGCTTGTATCACAATTAGCAGCCCTGCTGAATTCTTTCTGTTTTTTTAATGAGCTCTATATAATATATTCAGTCTAGCTGCCTGTTTTATTCTTGCATCACTCCCACGCAGCGACGGTTGGAAATTATTTTGAAAACTGTTAACGGAAGTGGGATGTAAGGCGTAATAGCTGGTACTTGAACAGTGAGTGTTTTGCTTTACCTTCTGAGCAAGTGACAGGCACACGGGAGGAGGGAGAAGTTTTTTGTAGCTTCGCTTGCTCCTCTTCATCATGGAGACTCGGGCACATTTCACCCGTGAGGAAATTAACAGCACGGTGTGGGAAGTCCAGGAGAAATACACGCACCTGAAACAGATAGGGACCGGGGCTTACGGCTCGGTATGGTGAGTGATTTATCATTTACTGTGCACTGCAAGAAGTGTGTGTCGCATTTGGGGCTCATTCACGTTAGCTACACTGGCTGCACACAGTGTGTAGTGGGCCTGCGTTATATCCTGTACAGTCTAACATAGAGTGGTCGCACAATCAGTCAACTCATGTAGCAAGTAAGCACCTATTATAGCACGACGACCACACAGCCCGTTATGTGGACCTTACCTTAGTCTTATGTTTACCTGCAGTAGGAGTAGGAGTTATGATTGAAAGGCTGTATTAAAGATGGCCACTTTCCATTTTCATGGCATCATACAGTTACATACAGGATACAGTTAAACACCAGAATAACTGTTTACGTAAAAACGTGCAGCAATTTAAATGTTTTGTTTTCTCTTTTTTTGTTTTGGGTTCTTTTTTTGTTGTTGTTGGGGTTTTTTTAGCAATACAATTATTTTTGCAGGCTTACATAAAAATGGGGGATCGGGTGTCAAACCATTAAGGAAACTAGATACAGCCAACATCACTTATCATTGCGTTTTTACAACCTCCCTGGTTTTTATTTGGCTAACTGGATACATACAATCCCTGATTAGGGTTTCTAAAATAATTTCTGTTTGCACATTTAGAATGCTTCAAGTTTAGTCATGTAGCTGCCTTCATAAAATGTTAATAACTGTAAAGAACCATTTGAGAAGAGCTATTCAGAAAGCGCTAAAGCCTATTATTATATTAATATGTCATGAGGGATAAAATGGCAAATGCTGGAACAGTGGCAGCTGTCAAACACACAAGGCCATTGCTACGTTTCATATTGCTGTCACGTAAGTGCTCTTAAGAATAACCAAAGGTCAATATATTTGAAGAAAAAAAGCCAGCCTTTTGCCTTTTATCCATTATTGTGTACATTAACCCTTACGTTATTGTTGAAATCACTGATTTTCTTCACTGTCAAATGTGCCTTCCTAATGAACTTTACCACACAGTTGTTCTAACTTATTTTGACTAAAAATATAAACTCATAAATTATGACAGCACTTAGTTTAAATTGGACTAAATTTAAAGGGCCTTGAGGTGACAGTTGTTGTGATTTGGCACTATATACATACAATTGAAATGAACTGAATTAACGGATAAATCTTAGTAGGTAAAATTTTGAGAACCTAGATAAACGGTGAAAAAACTCTTTACTGACCTGAAAGCTCCTGTTGTTACAGCAGCAGTGTTCAGGCATGCTGACTAGGCTTTAAGCATAATAGTGTGGGAGTTATGATCTGTTAAAAAGCTCAGACTGGTCGACCTTTAAAAGAAGCAGCATCTCATGAACACCGTGAACATTATCTGAACCTACCTGTAAATGGAGGAGGGAAAGGAAATAACAAACAGAAGCACAGCCTGCAGTTTCATGTTTTTTGTTGTTGTTTTGTTTTGTTTTGTTTTTATTGTAGCTATTTGCTTGGCATGGATTAGCTGTTTCATGTAAAGCCGGCTGCAATATTTGACATTACTGCATCAGTGTTGTTCACAGCACACAGTGAAGTGTGCAGTGTGTGTTGGTGGATGCGGCTCCAAATAGCCTAACAAGCCTGTCCTCCTACGATTTGGTGCCCTGCAAACATGCACGTCAAGAGCTGCCAAACATTCACATATTGATAACTCAGTAAACCACAGACCACCACACATTTAGAGAATGAGTCCCACGTACAGTATCTCTATCTCACATCATCTATGCTTTTGCGTTGTGTTTCATACACAGCCTCTAAGTGTGACTGAAACCCCAAAAATAGACTATCGTTTTCAAATGGTGAACATTATAGTGAGACTAAAAGGTCCAAGCAACAGCAGCCAGCTAATGACTTGTTACATTATCATTCCCAACAGCTCAGCACTAAATGAGAAGAATAAAGAAAAGGTGGCCATTAAAAAGCTCCACAGGCCTTTCCAGTCAGAGATCTTTGCTAAGAGGGCCTACCGAGAGCTCCGACTGCTCAAACACATGAAACATGAAAATGTGAGTAGACTATACACTATGCATACTCAGTCGCTTTTAGGAAGTTGTGTTTTTTGCATTGTAACAGCACTGTGATGCAGTAATATTCTGTAAATGAGCCATTGCTTGTATGTTTTAGTATTTGTCACCTGCTTCTTTCATTCCAACTAGGTGATAGGACTTATCGATGTGTTTACACCTGCCCTAAGCCTGGATGACTTCCAGGACTTGTGAGTATTCTTCATCTTATTAGCAAACCGCTCGGGAAAGGCAGACAACACTTTAAATGATCTGCAGGTTCAAATGGACTGGTGCTTATACAGCACTTTTCTAGTCTAATTAAGAATTCAAAGCACTTTTTACTACTAAAGCCTACACACACACACACACACACACACACACACACACACACACACACACACACACACACACACACTCATGTGTATAAAGACTGTTTCTATTAGTTACTTTTCTTTTTTATCATCAACAATTTTTATTTATTTCATTTTAAACTTCAATAACAGAACTTAAGGATAAATACATAAATAAATAGTTTAAAAAACAAAACAAAAAACAAAACAAAACAAAACAAAGGGAAAGTTATCCTATTCTTTCTTCGCACACCAATCCCCACACCACCACTCTGTCATTACTCCTCTGTTCTTCAAGTTACAGAAAGCCAGCTTGTAAAGGGGGACCAAATACAATCATATTGATGCAATTTGTCTAATAAACCATAAGTCACTTTTTCGTAAGACGCCAACTTAGCCATTGTCTTTAGCCACTCTTCATAGGGAGGGGGGTTCTTTTTCCGCCAATGTCTTAGCAGGACCCGTTTGGCCGTAGTAAGAGCCAAAATAATCCATCTTTTTGTATAACTGGAAAAATCTCCATCAGAAAGTTCTGTGGTTATACCAAGTATGGACAGTTTTGGTGAGATACCAAATCTCCTTTTTAAAACACGAAAATTATCTTTATTTACCATCCGAAATGCACGACCATGATCTTTTATATTTTATCCAATATTCCATTACACATTCCAGATAAGTATTTCAAAGATTTAGACTTTTTGATTGGCAGTTTCTTTGGGGTAGCTCACTACATCGTTTAAGTATTAAGAAACTTCAAGCGAGTGCAAAACAAGGAGGTTTTTCATTGGCCCTTGCTTGGTTACCTACTGCACCAGTTAAACCCATCTGGTCCCATAGAGACGGAAGTTAATGGCGGTATTTCTCCTTGGATGGAGCTGTTTGATACCAGTCATATCCCTAAGCTCTTTTCTAACATTTTCGCACACACTCAAATTGCAGTGGCTCCATCAGGGGTAATTGGGGGTTCAGTATCTTGCCCAAGGATACATCAACATACAGACTGGAGAAGGCGGGAATCAAAACACCAACCTTCTAATTGGTGGATGCGCCACTCTGCCTCCTGCCACAGTCGCCACATTAGCATGGTGCACATGCTGTCAGAGATCTGTTTTTTCTCTTTAAGCACTCGACACTAAAACTCTTGGAGGAATGCAGTACTTGCAGAAAAAATCTGTGGGGTTTTTCTAGTTTAGAGTGATTAGGGAAAGATTTTATAGTCAGGATCATATAAGATTACTCTGTGAGACATGTTGCGACATCTACTTGTAACGTTAAAGAAAAATATGACAACTTAATTTTTCTTTCACTTTCCAGGAAACATGTGAGCATGCCTGTGAAAGAGCCTTTCCCACACTGAAAGCACACTTTCTGTCTACCTTAAAGAGGACATATTGTCCTTTAATTGTCATGTATTATTCAGTGGGGGGTAATAATTATTTGATTCCCTGCTGAATTTGTAAGTTTGCTCATTTACCAAGAAATGAACAACCTATAATTGTTATGGTAGTTTAATTTTAATGGAGACATTTGCTTTCTCACATGCACAGCTAAGATTTAAGCTGCTGCTGCATCACATGAGGAGACTCTAAAAAAGGTGGAAGAATATTTTATTTGGAAGTTATGTAAACATACGCAAGTCCACCAAGCTCCTTGGTCAAAGGGAGACAGGACAGATTACAGCACAGACAGGGTGTGGAAGTTAAGAATAGGATGACTTGCTAAGGCAGTGTCGTATATCATGTTTGGACTGTTAGGCTGAGGTAATTACTTTACTCTCTGCCTCAGGGTTGTCTCACTGCACCTCTCTTCCTCTTTTTTTCCCCCCCCCCAGCTACCTGGTAATGCCTTACATGTTTACTGACCTGTCAAAGGTGCGGGGTCAACTCTCAGAAGACAAAGTCCAGTTTCTTGTCTACCAGATGCTTTGTGGACTCAGGGTGAGCCAAAGATGATCTCTACCAAACTTCAGAAATGAACTATATTTATATTCCAATGTAACTGTTTAACAGAGTCATGTCAGAATAATACTGTTGTATATGTTGTTCCAAAATTTATTGGACAAAGACGTGGGTTTTTTTGTAGTTAGCCTCTGTACAACACCACTATGGCACCACCAACTCACCTTCATCTTCAGTTGCTAATTGGTTTATGGGGTCTTCCTATTTATATTCAATAACTTAAAAAAAAAAAAGCCTGCTGTGTTGGGTTGATATTAGGTGACTGACTTAGATGTCTACATTCTTTGCCTTAAGAAACTCCCATTTGTCTGATTAGTTCAGCAGAGTTTGGCTGAATCAGAGCAGAGAACATAGCCCTGTACGCTTCAGAATTCATCCTGTTGTTTCTATCAGCAGACACATCATCAATAATCACTAATGGTCCAGTTTCAGTGGCAGACAGACAGAAGGACAGACAGATTGATGCATACTCTGTCAATTTCACAAGGGAAATTACTATGATACAGCTGCAGGATGAAGACTAAAAATATTATATTCTACAATTAAAAAAAACAACATTGTTAAAAATAAAAGTACCACAGGCCCAGAGTGAATACCCTATAATTTGAGGTAGTGCCAAAAAAATATATTTACAACAGTAATTTAAAAAAGGGAAATAAAAAGTTAAGATAAAGCAAAGTTAAATGACAAAAGATTGGGATTGTGCAAAAGTGGAAATGGCATTAATAATTCAGTTCAGTTCATTTTTATTTCAAACATTTCAAACATGTGCCTTCACAATCATTACAAAATATCATTCCATTATTTGTTTGAAAAGGAGTAGGCAGAAGTATTTACTTATTTGTCCCTACCCCCTCAAGTTTTACCTCTCATTCATTTAATTTTTTTTTTAGTCTTAAATTAAACAAACAACATATGAAACAAAAGTAAAGCAAAACAAAACAAAACATACATAAATCAAAAACAAGAAATTAGCAAGCCCCACCACAGTATAGTTTCTTTCATATGAAAAATACAGAATGTGTATATTTGCAGATACACAAGTTATGGAAAAACAAACAAACCAAAACAAAAAAACCAAAAAAGAACCACAACACCATTACCAGCAACATTACCGTCCTGGGTTAACCCCGTTTTCTTCATTCTTATACTTATTTAAAATTAGGTTTTTATATTTTACTTTAAACTGTTTTATGTTTTGACTGTCTTTTATTTCTTCTGTTAGACTGTTCCATAATTTAACTCCTGCAATTGAGATAGACATAGTTCTTAAAGTTGTTCTAGCACTTTGTATTTTTAAATTCCATTTCCCTCTTAAGTTATACCCACCTTCTCTTTCTATGAACAATTTACAGATTTCTTTGGGAAGCAATTTATTTCTTACTTTATACATTATTTGCGCTGTTTTAAGCTTCACCAAGTCTTGGAATTTAATAGCTTGCATTTTGACAAAGAGTGCATTTGTATGGTCCCTGTACCCTACATTATTTATTAATCTAATGGCCCTTTTCTGTATTATAGTTATTGTTTGTGTGTTACTTTTGTATGTGTTTCCCCAGACCTCTACACAGTAGCTCATATATGGCAGTAGTAAAGCACAGTATAAAATGTGCAGTGCTTTCTGATCCAACATATGCTTTGCTTTCCCCAGGACGGCAATGCCCCGTGCCAATTTCCCCCGAACATAAGTAATGTGTGGCTTCCAACAGAGCTTGTGGTCAATGATCACCCCAAGAAATTTTATTTCATTTACTCTTTCTAAATATACATTGTCAACACATATTTCTACTTTCGATGTTTTTCTTTTGGTTTCCAAACAACATAAATTTGGTTTTATCTAGATTCAATGATAATTTATTTATATCAAACCACTTCTTTAATATCGTTAATTCCTGTGTGATCATTCCAAAACCTGTGGCAACTCCACACCTGAACACAGTATATTTGTGTCATCTGCAAATATTACAAACTTTAAAATCTCCGATACTCTGCAGATATCATTTAAGTACATAATAAACATTTTTGGACCCAGTACTGAACCTTGAGGTACTCCACAAGCTATATCCATCAAATTAGATTTATATTCATTTATTTGTACATATTGTTGCCTATTCCCTACATAGCTTTTTAACCATTCCAAAACCACTCCCCTAAACCCGTACTTTTCCAGTTTTTTTAATAGAATTTCATGATTAACAGTATCAAATGCCTCTTATTATCCATACATTCCGTTATCTTTTCCATTAAATCTATCAGTGCCAAAGCTGTTGATCTGTTGCTTCTGAACCCATACTGACTATCTGTCATTAATTCATATTTTTCCACAAAACTGTCAAATCTTTTTATGAAGAGTTTTTCCAGTATCTTAGAGAACTGGGAGAGTATTGACATGCATACAGAAATGTACAAGTGGAATCTGTCCTGATAGGTGTGTCATTCTGACCCAAAAAATGTTTGTCCAGAATTTTTACAGGCTCTTCTAGATGTTTTCTGGCAAAGTCTAACCTGACACACGTGTTCTTAAGTCTAGTGGCGTACGATTTGTTGCAAAATCTCTGTATTTCCATTCATGAGGGATTTTCTTGATTATCCACTTTTAAAAAATGATACAGCTGATTTCTCACAAGTTTTCTTGACTTGGCTCAATGTTGCGAAGCTGTTTTCAGCCTCATGTTGGCCTCTGTCACTTGGGCTATCGTGTTTAAAATGAGAGTGAAAAGCTGTGAAATACAAATTCAACTGAATCAATGTCACATGTTATTTCAAGCCTCACCTGAGATAAAGTTGCTTATGATTCAATTGTCAATTTGGTTTGAGCCTCAGAATATGGAGGACTGTGTATAAACAATGCTTTAATTCCTAAACAGTTAATGCAACACTTCTTTCAATCCCTTTGGATTAAAGCTGAAAGACTGCAATCACATGTTTTGCTATTTATTAATAATCTGTTATTATATCATTATTAGTAATTATCATAAATATTTCATGATTAGGATTTACATGACTGTATGTATCATGTAGCACATACTTACAGAGAAATTACAGGAGAGTTAGCCTTTTTTGCTTTAAATGAGTCAATGAAACACACAATGCAATGGATATAATTATTAACAAGCCTAGTTATTAATTAAAAGGTATTTGCTGTGTGGCCAAAAAGTTATTCATCAAACTCCTCTAATAAAATTTTACTTTGAATTTAGCCTAACTAGGCATGGTAAAAAATGACAAAGTAAACTAAAGTGTTGCTGCTCTGTTTATTCCTTTGCAGTACATTCATAAGGCTGGGATTATCCACAGGGTAAGTATAACTCATTGTCCCATTACAGGAAGCTGAGCTGTTTTGGGAGTAACTTTTTTCCTGTTTTATGATAAGTTGACTTTTTCAGGTTATTGTCAATAATAATAATGATGATAACTTTATCTATATAGCACTGTTAAAAATCTGTATCACAATGTGCTTCACCAGTGTAACACAATAAACAAAGCACTGCACAAAATAAAAAAAATGAAAAATTTCCGATCAATAATCTGTAGCGAGAAATAGGCGACTTCCTCAGGTCGGAGGAAGTGACTCACTTCTCCGACCTGATTTCCTCAGACTCAGACTGTAATCTGTGCAGGATTTTGTACCGCACAATGTTGTGACTCAGATTGCAGATTTGGTATTCCTCATGTTCTTTGGAAATATATTTTGCAATTCATTTGTTAAGCAGTCAGATGAAAGCGTGCCCAAACAGGTAGGATGACTTAACTCCTCTAATGCGTGTGCATGTCTGGAGCTGTTAGGTCACACCCTTTAACTCCAGTTCCAAGACGTCAAAGACCTGTCGGTAAAGTAAGAGCCACTTTTGGCTTCCTTATTCTGACTGGCTTCCTTATTCAGACTGGGTTGCTACAGCAGGTAGCTCCCCATGTTTGGTGCAGCAGATTTTTATGTTCTTCGTGACACAGCCCCAGAGGGATGTGTGTCCACTCCTGAGTTCAAACCAGGGATCTTTGGCTTGTTAGACAAATGTGCAAATCACTACACTGTGAAGTGTTACCCTGCTGTTACTCCTATAACGCTTAAAGCAGATAAATTTTTATCAACACCTACTGACAGTGATACACTTCTCACGCCTTATGTTGCAGCACTAACTGCAGAGTTGAGGCAGTGTGTCTTATAGTCATCTTGTAGTTGAGTCACGATATTGAAGTCCTTGTTTTAAGTCCCCACAACATTCTTGTGTTTGAGTTCAGCTGAGCCATGTGAGACCACAGGAAGCACGTGCACTAAAGCTCTTACTGGCTCTAGTAAGCGCCTGTGCTCCAATCACTGTAATTTCTTCTTAATTACCATTTGGACTAAGTAACCGTCATTCGACTCATTTTCTCTAACAGGATCTTAAGCCTGGAAACTTGGCTGTTAATCAAGACTGTGAACTAAAGGTATGTACTTTCTGCATTACTGCATATGAGAAGCAGTGAGATGATAGGGCAGCACCGGCAGCAGACACAGTAGGACTCAGCAGTCGATGTAATTAACAATATACAGGAGGTAGAAGAAGAAGTTCATTTGCATACAGTTGTGCAAACCTACTCGAAATAATCCTGAAACGATAGAATCATTTGTTATTGTTTATATGAGATTGCCATATATATGTATGCAATATTTTATGTGTTTCATTAAAAGTAAACAGCCTGTGAGACACTAAGTACATGTTTGAGATTGTCATCCGTTTCATTGCTGCTGATACAGATCCTGGACTTTGGGCTGGCTCGCAGTACTGATGCTGAAATGACAGGCTACGTGGTGACCCGTTGGTACCGGGCGCCTGAGGTCATTCATCTCTT